TTTTTTTTTTTTTTTTTTATGGCTGCTTGGTGATTGGTGAGGGTGAGGGTGATGGCGGTGAGGGTGATGATCAACAAGGGGATGGTGAAGATCCAAGGTGAAAGAACGGAGGTGATGGTGGTGATGGTGGATCTACAGAAGGGAGAAAAATCAAGTTTTTTTTTCTCCTGTTTTCTCCTTCTTTTATTTTTTTTGTTTGCCAGCTGCCACTTCCTCCTTCTCCCTTTAAAAGAGAAGAAACTACGGTTTTGTTAGATTTGGATTTTGATGGGCTGCTCAATATTGGGCTGGATTTATGAGTTTATTTTAGTAAATTTCATCCTCAACTTTTTAATTTTTTCAATTGAGTCCTTTTCTTGTTTTTTTTTCAACTTCTCCTCAAAATTTTTCATAAAATTTTTTTATAACGATAAATCCGAAATAGTACGTGAAAAATTTTGATATCCGACACGTACCATTCCAGTAGCAAAATCGATACGCATATCGGTACGATATTAACTACTTTGCTTTTAACGCTTTCCTATATTTTCTTCTCTCTTTTTTTTTTTAATTCATATCTTCTCTACAAATCATTAAATACTCTTCAATTTCTAGCAAAATTAAAACGTAACTGCTACACTTAGTTTTTCGAATCAAGTAATTTTCGATCACATCCGATCACATTGTAGTGCACCTTTGTCTCCTTCCAAAAGGGTTCAAATCCGTACATGACACATTGTTCAAAAAAGAAAAATTATGACGTAATTGCCGATGAATCTATCTCAAACCCACCTGCTTTGTCGTCAGCCACTCAAAATTATTCAAGACCTCGTTGCCGCAATTATTATTGCTCCTGAAAAGGCTAAAGCTAGAAGATGTGCAACGTTGACTTCTTACCTTCGGATTTTTCATTCAATTTCATGAATCATGAATATTTTCTCTTGGTCATAAATTATTTAATGAGTATTTTTAAGCTCTGCCAGCAAACAGAAGTTTATATTGTAATAAATATAAATGGTTAATGTTTGTTTGTCTTATTTTTAAAAAATTAAGAAAAAAAAGATAAAAATTATTTTAATACATGCTTTAAAAATAAGGTAGTTTAATCTTTTTCAATAAAAATTTATTGAAACGACGTAATTTTATAATGATTTTTCTCTTAATTT